GACATCTGAGTTACATTAAAGGTTTTTTCTTTTTCATTTCTTTTTGGATAGCAGCACTGGTTTTCCCTTTCACCACCTATGAATCCATTATTCTGGGTCATTGAACAAATGGGAACTGGGATTTCATTGTCATCTCATGTGGATTTTAGAGAGATTTCGAATCGTATCAAATCATATGGCTTTTTTGTGGTATTCTTTTCGTTTTTTCCGTGCTTAGCAAGACACAGACACGGGGTACTAGGAGGCTGCAGGTCAGCATGGAGGTGGGTCGCAGGGCTGTGCAAGGTGGTTTGCACAGAATCTTCCTGCACAGAACACAGCTCCAGCCAGTGCTACTAAATCGTTACTTTTTAAGTAGAAATTCAGTCCTGCTTTCAAAGTAGGAAAAAATAAACTTATAAGAAGATCATGAGGTATTTTTGTTGTCAAAAAGCGAAAGTTAAGAGTAAAGCCAAATCTACAGAGCCAATACTGACAGCTTCTACTGGTCCAAATTCGTAAAGGGGAATTCTGGAGGTTCTCCTAAAATGGAAAAAAAAGAATAGAAAACAACATTACAGTGAAACACTTTTGTAAGCCACGAAAGCTACATCTAAAATTTTCTGTGAAATACAATTTCTATTCTCACCAAAATGTTCTTAATCTGAAGAGAAACATTTACCCTCCTAACCAGTTTCCTCCTAATTTATGCTTCTAGTCAGGCAAGTTTTGTTCAGACCTGTCATGTCATCAATTTTTAAAACACTAAACACTTTGCTTATGAAGGAATTTCAGGAGAAAACGCTAATATTGCCCTCATAAAACATGTTGATGTGCAATACCAACACACCCTTGTAAATTTCCTTATATACAAATCTCACTTTTAATCATAGTTTTTATGTAGTCTTATCTTTGATTTTTTTCCCTTGTTTCTATTTGGACAGTACATATGAAAATGTGCACAAAAACAGAGGGGAAAAAGTAGATGAGAAGGTTTTAATAGGCTTTCTCAGGGTCAAGTTTAATGAAAGTGTAAATGAAAGAAATTATGCAGAAAAATTGTTTTACTGTTAAATTCTATATTTAATTCACAACAAAGCATTTCTATTAATCTCACTTTTCATGATCCCAAAATGAAATCCTTGTGTTTAACGTGCTGGTCCTCCAGCTCAGTGACACCACATATGCAGGGCCATTCTGGCTGGAGTGTGCCTGACCCTGCATGACCACAGCAGGGTGGTCACCTCAGTGTCCCTGACTAAACTGAGGGCAGGCACCGTTGGCTAAGTGCCAGCTCCATGCGGGTCCACAATGCTGAGTTGTAAGCCTCAGTGGTCTAGGTTAAAATTAACTAAGCTGATGTGCCCTCCTTATTTCTATTAACTATTGTCTATTTAACACTCAAAATTCTTGGTGACCGACCAACTGTTTACATTACAGCAAAGTAAAATAATTCTAATCCTTTATGTATTTATATGACCCCAAAACAATCAGATAAAAAGTTTAAAGTCATTCTTATGGATTTTATGCTTCTATGATGCCTAAGATAAGGTTATAAAAACTCAGAAACTGCTTTCATAGTTTTCATATATGGATATTTCAGTATGTGTTAAAAGTTTCCACTGTGCCCACATTTAGAGTTGATCAGTACGACGTTACATATTAGACTAAATGAAAGTTAGCAGATAACAAGTGCGGCTTATGAAGGGATAATTTGTCCAAACAACACCATAATGGAAAGCTATAGCAATTACTACTGATGTGAGAAAACGCAGAGGAGAGGAGATCTATTTAATACTCTGTGGCTTTTCAAGGGGTTTAATTCGCCAATAAACAATGGTAATTTAATCTTTTCAAATGACTTAGGCAACACCCCTGATTGTCCATTACTACACTGGACTGTGCTGTAAATGCTCTCCCAACCTCCTTCTCACTGGCAGGTTTCAACTCTCCTTCTGCCAAGCGCCTACCTCCACTAGACCCAAGCAGCGAAGCCTCCAGCCACCCCATGATGGACTGCACTACGACCACCCTGCTGTTGTTTGCAGGGTGAGTTCATGACTTTTTGTGTAGGCCTGGTCTGTTCAGACTGGAGTGGACATTCCTGCTATCATCATCGGGGGAAAGTTCGTCCTGAGAAAAGAAACTAAAACACAAAAAGCAGGCCTCAGAGAGGCAGAAAAGAACAAATGTTTCCCTCTTTTTGTTTCCTTTAAGCATTCTAAGGAAACTTAAGAGTTGCTTGGACCTGGCAGTGGTTGAATGACTTTGCTATAAGGATTCAGGCTAAGGGGTAAGCAGGGTATAGACAGAAGGTAGTGTTTTCAAACAGCTCCCAACCCTGGAATCAGGAAATCAACTTGTGGAGCTTCGACCACAGCCAGCATCACATGCAACAGAAGCAAATACTGTTCTGTGGAGCCTGCATGTGTGTTCTGGATACGAGGTGACCTGTATTTCTTACTATGACTGGTGATCGAAAAATGTTTGGAAGATATTGCTGTAGAGGACCCAAATCTGTCACTGAGATCATACAGTTTCCTGTCACTCTTTTCTGCTTAGACTTTAGTCAAGCGATATTTAAATTGTCCCTCCCTATCTTAACTGTGCCCCAGGGGATACAGGTAGACCTGTATCTCATGCCTGAAGCTCCCTCCCATGGCCAGCACTGGAGTGACAGCGGTAGTGAGACCACGGGGTTGCCAAAGGGCGAGGCTCTGGAAGCATTAACCCTGCAGGATTCAATTCTTCCCATACGGTTCTTTATTTTAAATTTATTTTTTTAGTACTTGAACTATGAAAAAATGTTTTTTAAGAATTAATTTAAGCATACAATGGAAATAAAACCTGCTTTTCTATAATTTAACATATAAAATAATTTAGCATTCTCCTACTCTAGCTATAAACTGCTTTTAATTTGAAATTACTTTGATTCCTCACTTTCAAGTCAATTATTAAAAATCAGAAATTGATTCTGTACATTACAGTCTCTGGAAGCAGAACAGCAGAAGCTGAACTTACCTTGTCTTCATACATCCTCTTGGCTTCCCTTAACTCAGAACGCAGCTGAGAGACGGTAGACTCCAGATCACTGAGCTGACGCATATACATGGAATTCTGGTTTCTTGCTTGCTCTCTAAAAAGGATTTAGAAGGGGAATAAAAGCAAATAGTAATCTAAAAACTAGTTATTTTATACAGCTTTATTTGGCAAATAGTCTTTTGTTTTCCAAAACTGATTTTTAAAATCTTCAGTTCAAAAATATTATTAAAGGATGGCACCTGTTGCTCAGTGGGCAGGGCGCCAGTCCCATATACTGAGGGTGGCAGGTTCAAACGCGGCCC